GGATTTGGGAAAGGGGTAAAGTGGAGGTGGAAGCTTGAGGGAAGGGAGCAGAATGGGGGTGGAGCAGGGGCAGGAAGGGGTGGGGGCAGGGTCTTGAAAAAATGGGGGTTATTTCAGGCCCTGCAACCCCTAGGGATGGCTCTGATGAGTATTTTGCTAACCAGAGCCCTATAGTATGCAGATGTTATGGAGGAGATCATCATTTCTCAAATTGGGGGTCTTAATCCAAAAGGGAGCTGTGGGGAGTTACAAGGTTATTTTAGGGCAGTAGTTCCCAATCTGTGGTCTGTGGACCCCTGTGGGTATGCAAAGGCACTGCAGGGGGTCCGCAGAAAGTTTTAAAAAGTAAAGATTGGGCCCACCATGGTGGATCCAGTCCTTACTTTTCTTTTCCTTTTCTTCTCCCTGCTACCCAGAGTGAGGGGTGGGTGACAGCCATGCACGCCGAGACATGGTTTGCTTTTGATCCTGTTCTCTGGAAGCTAAGGGAGAGTGGGGAAAATGCTTGCATGCTGTGCGTGCCTATCACACCTGACTGGTGTGTGAGGCATGCACAGGATGCAAACACTTTCCCCATGCTCTCTTAGCTTCCAGAGAACGGGATCAAAAGCAAGCCTGAGAAGCACCATGTCCTGTAGTCTGCACATTCCTCAGTGTGGACATGCTGTATTCTCTCTCAATACTACTATATTTGTTTAGTTAACATTAACTATTATTAACTATCTTAAATGATTATCAAATAATGGAATGTTTGAAAACAGTTATATTGTTTGCGGGTCCATAAATTTTTAATAGATTGAAAAGGAGTCTGTATGCTCAAAAAGGTTGGGAACCACTGTTTTTGGGGGATCAAGGTATTGCTACCTTTCTACACTGCCTTCAGACCTGGGCAGCCAGGGAGTAACAGCTGCTGTCTGAGGGCTGAGCTCTGCAGGCAGCAGCACTGAGATGAAAGTGGCATGGTATGACATTGCCACTCTTACTTATGTGCTGCTGCTGGCAGTGACTCTGCCTTTAGAGCTGGGCAGCCGCCTCTCTCTGGCTGACAACCTCTGAAGATAGCACCACTGCCAGTAGCAATGCAGAGGTAAGGATAGCAGTACCACAACCCCCATTACAATAACGTGACATTTCCCCCCACCCGTTTTGAATCAAGATCCCTACAATTACAACACTGAAATTTCAGATTTAAATAGCTGAAATCAAGAAATTTACGATTTTTAAAATGCCATGACCATGAAATTGACCAAAATGCACCGAGACTTTAGTAAGGCCATATCGAAAATGTAAAGCTGCCTTGCCTCCCTTTGGAGGATTTCCTTAGCACCCGGGGGGAGGGGAGCGGGAATCTTCGATGGTATAGTAGTAAGCTTCAATGTTAACCCTCTGCCTAAGGCAGTCACCTTTGAATGTGTCTCATTCTTATCTGTGACAAAAAGCCCTCAGATGGCACTTAGCATTAGGGATTTGAATAAGTGACTGGTTAACCAGCAGCTGGCAGCCCCATGGGAGCTGACAGCCCCAAGGGGCTGTGGGCTTCTCCAGCTGGGCCCACCACACCACAGGCACAGGGCCGCTTCAGCCTGGCTGGGCTAGAGTGGCCCCATGTCCGTGGAATCCCGCTTAATCAGTTAACTAGTTAAATGTAACGTTTAACCGATTACCTGGTTAAACAGGATTTTACATCCTTACTTAGCATCTGAGACTGTATTATGCTGCATGCATACAAAAGAGCAGATTTAAGGACGGGGTGCAAATATAACATTGGCAATTCCTACTGTTGGATTACTTCACTCTGTAACCCTAACATTCTCTTATTGTGTCTGAGGTTTTTTTTAAATGTAATTTTCTAGGTTTATAAAAGACAAACCATAAAAAAAATCCAGGTTCGAGAACTTTTTGATAGACATCCCTAACAACACTGTTATGGACATTGTATTCTGGGGTTCCTGGTGAGAGCTGTAGTGTATGCATTGAATGGATCAGGGCTGCAAGTCAGAGGCTTGCTCATTATACAGTGAGCACTACAGTTCTTCCATGTACCAGCCAGATAAATGCTTTATGGTAGACAGTATTGCCAATGAGCATGGCAATTCCTATTTGAAGAAGAATACCACCAAAGTCTAGTCACTGACCACCATGACAGATGTTATCATATGGGAATGCTGCTTAAACTGGTAGGTCTCAGTCCTAAAGTCATTACTAATTTAATTAAATTAAATCCTGTGAGTCTATGACTAATTATATGCTAAAGCAGTTTCTTAGCTTCTCCAGGGCAGTGTAAAACTGAGTTGATAATTACCAGTATAAGGAGGTATAATTACCATCTTTATTACTGTAAAATACGTCTTTGTATACTACCCATTGTTAGTCTTTAGAAGTATTTTCATTTGAATATTAAATGAAAATCTTTCATCCTAAGCTGTAGAAGTAGATTGTACCCATGAAAGCTCATGATACCATCTACATTTTTTTGTTAGTTTCTAAGGTGCTGCAGGACTATTCACTGTTTAAGTTTTTTCAATTAGTACTAGTTGTTCTCAAAATAAGTTTGCTTTAAAAGGCATTGTTTATGCAGCTACACTTTTTTGTCTCTTGTTCTGCTGCAATTTAAAGTAGAATTTAAAGTATGCCTTTTAAGATGTGAAACTTTTTTTTCAGGCAGAGATGGGAGAGGCAATTGTTAGTAATATGGCTAATAATCAAGAGGAAGCAGTTTTTCAGAATTCAAATTCAGGAGAAAGCAATTGCAAGTTACTAACAGTACAAAATGTAATGGAGGAGCCCAGCTGTTCACACAGAAAAGATTCCAATCCAGTGGTAATTACCACCTGAAACTGACAGCAACAGTATACATTGAACGAAATTATATTTATGTATTTATTTCTTTGCTTATTTGTATTACAGTAGTCTAGAGCAATGTTTCTCAACCTTTTTTATAAAGTACCCCCTTTTTAAAAAAAATTATAAGTACCCTCAATACCTACAGTTTTCAGACATTTTTTTCTACCATTGTAACACTTACAGTACCTACAGTTTTCTACCATTTTTTCTACTATTGCAACACATTTGTTTAAACAACTTAATCGTAGCCGGGTGGGTGATGAAAGTTTTGGTGTAAAAAGTACAAAAGTAATAAAGCGCTGTAAAACTTAACAAAAATTCAGTTTTCTCCAAATTTCAATTGTTGATGTACCCCCCCCCAGACTTCTCTTGAGTACCCCCTAAGGCAGTGGTCTCTAACCTTTTCACACCCAAGATCACTTTTTAATGACAGAACAAGCCAAGTTTTACCGCCCCGCCCCTTCCTTGAAGCTCCACCCTCTCTATTCTCCTCCTCTCCATCACTTGCTATCCCCAACCCTTATACCGCTGCTTTTTCCTCCAATTCTTCTGTAGGAAGAGGTTTTTCCAACATTTGGCCTGTCTAGACTGGACCAAATGTCAGAAAAACCCCTGCTTTTGGAAGCCCCCTTATTCCTTATGGAAAGAGGAATATAGAGGTGACCGAAAGATCATGTTTGCTCTTGCACTAATGCATCCGTGGATGCAGAAGAGTTTTTCTGGGATATCTCTGGAATCCTGAAAAACTCCTGGGCTGTGTCTAGACTGACAAGTTTTTCTGCAAAAGCAGCTGCTTTTGTGGAAAAACTTTCCAGCTGTCTCCACTGGCCGCTTGAATTTCGGCAAGAACACTGACAATCTCATGTAAGAAATCAGTGCTTCTTGCGGAAATACTATGCTGTTCCTGTTCAGGCAAAAGTCCTTTTGCGTAAAAGGGCCAATGTAGACAGCTCAGATTTGTTTTGCGCAAAAAAGTCCGGATCACAAAAATGGCGATCGGGGCTTTTTTGCGCAAAAGCGCGTCTAGATTGACATGGACGCTTTTCCGCAAAAAGTGCTTTTGCGGAAAAGCGTCTGTGCCAATCTAGACGCTCTTTTCCGCAAATGCTTTTAACGGAAAACTTTTCCGTTAAAAGCATTTGCGGAAAATCATGCCAGTCTAGACGTAGCCCTGCAGTCTAGCCGTAACCTTGCTGGGTTGAGACAGGATGTGTAGGATTTGGGTGTGGGAAGGGGTGAGAGGTGCAAGCTCTGGGAGGAAATCTGGATGCAGGAGAAGGTGGATAAGGGGACACTGGCTCGGGGAGAGGGCGCCAGGCCTGGCAGTGTTGGGGTCAGATGTACGGTTAGGGTACTAAGCAAGCCACAGACTTCTGGATGTAAGGGTTCAGGAATTTATGTTGGGGTATGTGAGGAGCTCAGGGCAGGAGGTTCCAGTGTATGATAGGCTTCAATGTAGGGTCTGGGGGAAAGGGGAGCACAGGAGTGTTATGATGCTGTGGCCAGATGGGTTCTTAGCCCCAATTTGGGGTTTGCTGGCCAGGCTTCATTTTTAAATAAAATACCGTGTCAAACAAAAAGTTTCTGCATTGTCTTTGTTTCTGAGAAGGGCAGGGAACCTGTCTTGAGTCAGGGGTCACTGACCCAAGAAAAGTCAGTTGGGGCCACACAAGTGAGATGCAAAAAACCCCTCCTCCACCCCCCGCAAGCTTCACTAATGTGGCCCCAACTGTGTTGGTTGGAACAGGGGACATAGTACTAGGGAAGGGTGCTAGTGGGTGCTTTGACAGGGTTCTGTGGCTTGGGACAGGGGAATGGGGACAGAGTTCAAAAAGTGGGGATGGGAGGACAGAGTTCTGTAGCTGGGGACAGGGGAGTGGGGACAGAGTTCTGTGACTAGGGAGAGGGAACAGGAGGCAGTGGAGGCAGAGAGTCCCCTGCATCTGCCTCCTCCCAGGATTCTCCCCCTTCCGTCCCCCCACGGGAAGCCAGCATGTGCCACCTTGGGGCCCAACTCACCACCCCCACCCCCGGCACAGGGAAGCCCCGTGTGCGCCTGCCCTGGGGCTGACTCACCCCTCCTGTGTGGTGCAGGGAGCCAATGCTCCCTGCCACAGTACACCCGGTAGAGCAGCTAGCGCACTTCCGGAATCGACGGAAGTGGTGCTAAGCTGCGGGACTTCTGTCCATCCCCGGGAAGCCGAAACTACCTTCATTTTCACCTGAGGTACGTAGTGGGGCTTCTTAGGGGTGGGAGGGAAATGGAGACGGGGCGGACAGGATGCCTCGTGATCAGCTGGTCGAGGCCTCGCGATAGACTTGACCTGTTGGTGACAACGGCCATAAGGGTACTCGTACCACTGGTCGAGAAACACTGGTGTAGAGGCTCCATTTGGGACACCATTGTGTTGCTGTTTTACAAACAAGTAATGAGAAGCCAGTCCCTGTTCTAAAGAAATCATGATTTACGAGGTTATATTTAGTTATACTAAATTTTGTCTATATTTACTATAGAAGATTAGAAACAAAGCAAGCTGTGGTGCTGGCTAAATTTAAAAATAATGCTTGCTATAGTTATAGTCAAGTGAACAAAATGAAGTACTATTGCAGAGCCATATTTTTGTCTGATCTGAATTCTGCACACAGTACAAGTAATTGAAATGTGTCCTGGAGAGTTCCATGGTTGGGAAGGCTAGAATGCAATGAATCCTTCCTACCTGAGATGAGAAGCAACAGTATAGCTGCCCAGTAGTGTTCTGTGATCAGACATTAGGTATTATTAGGAAAACCTCAGTATTTGTGAGCCTAGATGAAAACTTATAATTTATTATGTATTTCAGGTAATCTGCCAGTTGAAAGGAGGAACTCAAGTACTCTGTATAAACAGCTCTGGTACAAGAGAATTAAAAACAGTTCATCTCGTTCCCCAATATCAAAACCAACATAGTTATCTTCAGTCAGGTACAAAGAAAATGAAAAATTTCACTAAATATTATGCCACTGACCATTAATGTATATATGTGTTTGTGTTTCTAAGCAACAGTGGTGCTGAGATGAGCCAGGACTAATGTATCTATCACCAATTTTTTATTATTTTATGGTGCCTACAAGGATGCCTACTTCACAAAACATCCTACAACATTGCTACCATAGAAGTGCTGAAATTAGTGAATTGGTCATACAATGTTAATAAGCAGATTAGATTCAGTAGGAAGTCTTTTGCTTCAGGCCCTATGCATTCTCAAGGATAGGATACCCACTTGCATTTACACAAGCTTGCCACCAAATGTCACTCTTCTTCCAAAAATAAAAAGCAGCTGAAGGTGCTGATTTAGTTTAACCATTAAGATTTTTAGCAGTGTAGTACATTTTTATCTACAACAGCAGTGCAGTGTATATTTGTAATGAGGCAAGTCAAAACTCCATCTCTTCCCTGTGGGTCTTGCACTACCAGCAGACAGTGTTAACTTAAGAGGTTCATTGTGGCCCTCCACACGGTCTCTTTCTGTTTATTAGAGGCAGGTGTCACAGCTTACTGAGCTATATTAATCACAGGCTAGCTCATAAGTTTGGGGTAAAATCTCCTATGGAGTCCTGATCTCCCTTCTCAAGGCAGTTTTTTAGGTGTCATGGGAAGGTTGGGGGGAACCTGGGCCCACCCACTACTCCAGGTTCTGGCCCAGGATAAATGTGGCCACAGGCAGCTTTTCCCTGGGCCACTTCCCCAAACAATTCCTCCCAGTACCTTTCCTTTGGTACCTGCTCATCAGTCCTCAGCTGTCACACAGCACCCCATACTGACACACTACTTCCTCCTTTCTGTCCTTTGCTCTTTTCCTCCCCCCTTCCTTGGCTAGGGGAGACCTTTTAAAGCAGCACCACAGGCCTTAATTGGCTGCAAGTGTCTAATTACCCTGTGGCTTCTAGCAAGTTCTAATTGACCCCAAGTGTCTGCCTGATTATTCTGTACTTAGGCTTAGCCTTTTTTTATTCAGGAAAGAGAAAGCTGTTCACTCATGCCCTAGCATGTATTCCGTCCACCGGTAGTGGCAAATGGTTGGCCTGGGTCTGTCGCAGTAGTTTAACTGTAACATTTTAGAAAGCTTTTCTTTCCTCCAGAAGTGTGAATTTCTTAAGAGCTATTTTACCATTAACTCCCTCCATGTTTTTGGTTTTATTGTTATCTGTTGTTCGTATTGCAGTTGTGCCTACGGGCACCAATCTGAGATCAGGGACTCCTCATGTTAGGCACTGTAAAAACATGACTACCAGACTCAGTTTCACAAGATGCAGAATATTTTCCACTCTGATTGACTTCAGAAGATTCTGCAGATGCCCAACACTTCTGATATAGTATTAAAAATTAGGTTCTTTCTGAGGATAAATCTGAAAAATCCAAAATGAGGAAAATAAACTTCCAAATTTTGTTACAGTATCTCCAGAGGTGAGGAAGGTAAAACCATAACTGAGAACTACCATTGTCTTTGTCTCCCATTTGACCAGATTTTCTTCTATTTTACTCACATTCATAGTATAGAACAGAGGGGAACACGAAACCAAGTATTAGAAGAACCAGAATTTAAGTCCAGAAAAGTCCCAGGTGACGAACCCCAGAAGTTGTCAATTTGAGCTTTTTTCCTGAGCTCCATTTCTTTTCATACAACATCTACAAGAACACATCCATAAATTAATTTCTGGTAGCAAGATTCATCTTGTCAATCTCATGGAGCCTAATATTCCATTTTTTCAAAATGGTATGGAGAATGAATGTGAATTAAAGAGTGTGTGACTATTATGAATTAAAGAGAATGGGACTGTTAACATGCTTCAAGTTAAGCATGTACTTGAGTGCATGCTTGTCAGCCGACGGTCAAGGCAGTGAGTGTGTGTGTTTGTGTACTATACACCCGAGACTTCAACAGCTGAGACCGGGGTCCCTTGCAGTGGGCAACCTGGAAGAGGTTGAAGGGCGCCCCAATAAGTGTACAGAGAGAGCTTATTACATTTCAGATTTCAGCTGCTAGAATTCATAATTCCTTCGCAGCGGGCAGCCTCGGGGAGGCTGAGAAGCGCCCCAATGGATTTTGCCACCTGGGTGTGACACAAATCCAAACGCCCAAGCTCTCCCTATATCTGTCCCTTTATGACCGGCTGAAGTTCTTTTAAATTGTGCTTGGTTCTATTACAGCAACTGAAGGAGTCAGGTTAAAACTTAAACAGTTACAGGTTTATTTGAGGAAGCTTATAAATCATATGGTTGCAATGGCTATTGTTCTATTTCTTAACTGCTAGCAAAATATAGATCTTAAAAATGGTTACAAAGAAGATAAAGATAGAAAAATAGAAATAATGGTACCAAGCTTTAAAGAGCTCTAAGTCTGTGTACACTTAAGACAGAGGACCACATCCAGGTACAATTTTTACCCCCTTCTGTGCCTCTCGACTCCAGCATGTCAGGCCAGGGCCGGTCCCTCAATTCCTAGGAAGGACGAAAATACGAGGTGGGCGTCCCCATAGAACCTCGGGAGGTCAAACACCTAACCCGACCAGCAGGTAGAGGGTAGAATGACACTCAAAAGAGAGTGTGCTGCTGTACCACCTTTATACTCATGGGGTCACGTATTTTTCTTATCTGTCATGCCAAATGGGGCTGGTCTGTCTTTTGTGAGACCAGTTCTTACAAGGGAGTTGTGAACTTTATTTACACTTGTAAGAGAGATAACTAAATTGGAAGTACTGGGCATTCTTTTCTCAGTGGGGGATTCCTCTCCCAGGGACTGTGTGTTCGTATCAACATGGGTACCAGCCGGGCACACTCGCATATCCTGATCTTGCATCAAAGCAGATCAAAGCTTAATGGCTATGCTGATTGCCTTAATCGCTCTCTCTCTCCACATATCTGTTTTCAGCTCCTCAGGATCAGATGAGCCAGCATAGACTATGCTGATATTATTGCTCCTTCTCTGTCCTGTATGCTTCAGGAACCTCAGAGAGGCAAATAAGATGGATGATATGGGGGGTTGGTCTGTCTGGCTACAATGCTGAATCAGGACTTTGTCCTTTTCATATGTGTTCATTTTTTTTAATTGTATCCTTTGGTATATATGGTTGTGACAATTTTCTTCCACTATTTGATCTGAGGAAGTGGGTCTGGCCCACGAAAGCTCATCACCTATTAAACCATCTTATTAGTCTTTAAAGTGCTACACAGTCCTGTTTTTTGTTTCAGCTGCACCAGACTAACACTGCTACATTTCTACCACTATTCGACTTGTGTAAAGACACTTCCCCCCTCCATGCCCTCCCGAGCTATGACTTCCTCCTTACTTTTCTAGCAGTAATTTTTTGGCAAATACTTCTGCTCCAAGTGTATTCTTCTGACTTTAAAAGTTGTAAAATAAGAACCCGAAATAAATACAATGAACATTTCTGTCAGTTACTTACTCATGAAAGGATTTTATAGACTATAAAATTTGCATTTAGAGTATTTTTAAAGATACTCTGAGACATTTAATATCAAAGAGTAAAGGCCTCCTGTGCTCAACTTACTTATTGACAAAGTGGTGATGCCCTTTGGTGGCTGTGTGCAAAGCGGAAGCCTTTTGCAGTATAAAAAGAAATGTTTCTGGAGAGAGATTTTCTGGGCCCTCCTTTAACTATCTTGTGGGGGAAACATGGGTTTGATTCTAAGGTAATCCATGGCAGGGATGGGGAACAATTTTTTAGTTGGGTGCTACTGATCCACAGAAAAATCAGTCAGGGGTCACTCGCAACTGAGAAGCCAAAAAAATCCAACAAAACCCTCACTGACCTGACACGCACACTCACAACTCAAGGCATCAGGGCTCCCTTCATGCTCCAGTCCCCTAACGCAGAGGATGCCAAGGCGTGGGGCTTCCCCCAAAATGGGGTGAGCCAGCGTTTACGCTGCAGCCCCACAGGGAAGCACTGATGCTGGGAAACTTGCTAGGGGGCTGGAGCACAAGTGCCAGCTTGCCCTGTTGCAGAGTTATCCCCAAGCCTCACTATGGATCAAGCTAAGCTAGGATCCAGATCTGGCCTGTGGGCTATAGGTTTCCCTCCCCTCATCTATGGCAAAGAGGTAGAGATTAATTACAAAGGATGAATACAAACAAACAACTTAGATGGGGCTACTATAAGGTGGGTGCATAACTGGCTGGATAACCATACTCAGAGAGTAGTTATTAATGGTTCACAATCGTGCTGGAAAGGTATAACAAGTGGTGTTCCACAGGGGCCTGTATTGGGACTGTCTTTGTTCAATATCTTCATCAATGATTTAGATATTGGCATAGAAAGTACATTTATTAAGTTTGCAGATGATACCAAGCTGGGAGGGGTTGCAATTGCTCTGGAGGATAGATCACATAATTCAAAATGATCTGGACAAATTGGAGAAATGGTCTGAGGTAAACAGGATGAAGTTTAATAAAGACAAATGCAAAGTGTTCCACTTAGGAAGGAACAATCAGTTTCACACATACAGAATGGGAGGCAACTGTCTAGGAAGGAGTATGGCAGAAATGGATCTAGAAGTTATAGTGGACCACAAGCTGAATGAGTCAGCAGTGTGATGCTGTTGCAAAAAAAGCAAACATGATTCTGAGATGCATTAACAGATGTGTTGCGAGCAAGACACGAGAAGTCATTCTTCCGCTCTACTCTGCACTGGTTAGGCCTCAGTTGGAGTATTGTGTCCAGTTCTGGGCACCACATTTCAAGAAAGATGTGGAGAAATTGGAGAGGGTCCAGAGAAGAGCAACAAGAATGATTAAAGGTCTAGAGAACATGACCTATGAAGGAAGGCTGAAAGAATTGGGTTTGTTTAGTTTAGAAAAGAGAAGTCTGAGGGGGTACATGATAGCCATTTTCAGGTATCTAAAAGGGTGTCATAAGGAGGAGGGAGAAAACTTGTTCATCTTGGCCTCTGAGAATAGAACAAGAAGCAATGGGCTTAAACTGCAGCAAGGGAGGCATAGGTTGGACATTAGGAAAAAGTTCCTAACTGTCAGGGTAGTTAAACTCTGGAATAAATTGCCCAGGGAGGTTGTGGAATCTCCATCTGTGGAGATATTTAAGAGTAGGTTAGATAAATGTCTATCAGGGATGGTCTAGACAATATTTGGTCCTGCCATGGGGGCAGGGAACTGAACTCGATGACCTCTCGAGGTCCCTTCCAGTCCTATCTATTCTATGATTCTATGATTTGGATGATGGCATAGAGAGTACGCTTATAAGGTTTGCAGGTGATACCAAGCTGAGAGCAATTGCCCTTGCTTTGCAAGATAGGATCGTAATTCAAAATGATCTGGACAAAATGAAGAAATGGTCCGAGGCAGATGATAGTCAATAAGGACAAATGCAAAGTACTCCACTTAGGAAGGAACAATCAGTCGCGCACACACAAAATGGAAAATGATTGCCTAGGAAGGAGTACCCAGAAAACTGGGCTGTATTAGCAAGAAAATGGTAAGCAAAACTTAAGGAAGTAATTCTTCCCTCTATTCTGTGCTGATTATGCCTCAACTGTAGTATTGTGTCCAGTTCTGGGCACCACATTTCTAGAAAGATATAGAGAAAGTCCTGAGAAGATCAACAAAAATAATTAAAGGTGTAGATAACATGACCTAATTGGGTTTGTTTAGTCTGGAAAAGAGAAGACCGAGAGGGGATATGATAACAGCTTTCAAGTACCTAAAAGGTTGTTACCCAGAAGAGGAAGAAAAACCATTCTCCTTAATCTCTGATGATAGGACAAGAAGCAATGGACTTAAATTGCAGTAAGGGCGGTTTAGGTTGGGCATTAAGAAAAACTTTGTCAGTTGGTTAACCGTTGGAATAAACTGGCTGGGAAGGTTGTGGAATCTTCAAGAACAGGTTAGAGAAACACCTGTCAGGCATGGTCTTGGTCCTAACATGGGTGGAAGGGAATGGACTCAATGATTTCTTGAGGTTCCTTTCAGTTCTATGATACTATGAAAAACCCTCAGGAAATGTATTTTTATTTTAATAAATGATGATAAATGGCACACATGTTCTCCCAAGGTGGAACTTTGATCCTGAAAAGACTTATTATGCATGTGCTTAACTTTATCACCTGTGAGCAATTCGATTAACTTTAGGCAACCTTTTTCTTATCAGATGTGACTAATCCTATGACAACTGTGCTGGGACAATATTTTCCAGTTCCAGGTAAAGTGGATCTCAATGAACAACAGGTGAGGAAACCCTTAAAAAGAAAAGAAAAAAGTAAATATACTGCAATTCCTTCTCCTAAAGTTTCACATTTATTCATTAAGTTGGATATTTATTGGACGTGGGGAAATAACCAACACATTATAAATTCTGTACAGAGCCTTTCAATCAGAATTTCTAGCATGTTGTACATGTTATTTTCTAAGATTTAGCTAGATTTGCACCTTCTACAATAATCTTAGATATACAAAGGCCTGTGATTTCATTATCATTCTTTGAAAAATAAAGGTGAACCCAGTGTTTAAAACATACTTTTTAGCAAGAATGCAACTAAAAATGTTACAGTATCTTGAATTTATTATTCATACATGAGCTGTTATGATTGGAGACTGTTTCAGGGTTTTGTCTACACAGTGCCACAATCTGGGCTACGGGTGTGTGATTTGTAGAGCTTTCTGAAGTGTTCCACTTTAGCTGCATTGGTAGACCCTGCTGCCTTGCATGACCTAAATGGTATCTATTTTGTGTTAACATAGTCATGTATGAAACAGGACTACATCAGTGCAAACTAAGTACCTTGTAATTCATGCCAGCAGAGCAGGGCATTCAGAGAACAACGGTTCTTTTTTGAGTGCTTGCTCAGATCCATTCCGATCGAGGTGTGTGCACGCTGTGTGCACAATTGCAGGAAAGTTTTTACCCTATCTGCTACCTGTTGAGTCAACTGTGGAGCGCTTCTGATGTGGTGCTCTGTATATGACCCTGCTAACCCAAGCACACCTCATTTCCTTCCTACTGTCAGGGACAGCTATTGGAACTTATGATGCTCTTTCTTTGCAAGTGCCTCGTCTCCTAGGGCTTCTCAAGGGTGTGGATAGGCTTCACCTGTGGGTCCGGCTCCTGGTCCCTGCTTGGAATCTCAACCTGGTCCTTTCGATGCTCATAAGTCCTCCCTTTCAGCCTTTACCAACTTGTTTGATACTATACCTTTCATGGAAGGTGACTTTTCTAATTGCCGTCACCTCTGCCAGATGGTGTCGGAACTCTATGACCTCTTGTCAGACCCTCAGTACATGGTCTCCCATAAAGACAAGATTCTGCTTCATCTTCATCTGTCTTTCTCCCAAAAGTGGTTGCTGCCTTCCACACAGGTCAGGACATTTTCTTTACAGTTTTCTGACCCTCACCAGGGTCCATGGGAGCAGTGACCGCACTCCTTGCAAGTCAGGCAAGATCTTATATTCTACATTGACAGGACTAAGCCCTTTTGTAAATCCTCACAGCCATTTATGGCAGTGGTGGACCGTATGAAATATTTTCAAGTTTTGTCACAGCACATCTCTTCCTGGATCACGGTGTGCATCCACATGTGTTATGATCTCGCTAAGGTCTTTCCACCGCCTCTCACGGCACACCCCACAAGGGTGCAGGCCTCATCTGCTTTTCTGGCCCATGTTCTCTAGGAAATATGCAGGGCTATGACGTGGTCTTTGGTCCATGCCTTTACATCAGTACAGCAGTCCAAACTTGATGTGGCTTTTAGGACTGTGGTACTCAAGTCAGCTACACATTGACTCTGACCCCTTCTCTTGGGTAAGGTTTGTGAATCACTTCAAGTGGAATACATAATACAAGCACTCAAAGAAGAATAAACGGTTACTCTCCTTGTAACTGTTGTTCTTCGAGATGTATTACTCATATCTATTCCATACCCATCTTCCTTCCCCACTGTCAGAGTAGCCAGCAAGAAGGAACTGAGGTGTGGTTAGGTTGGCAGGGTTATTTATAGTGCGCCACACTGGCGCCACTCCAGGGGACTCCACAGCTGACCCAACAGGTAGCAGCTAGTGTGAAAACTTTCCAACAGTCATGCACATGATTCACGCACACCTCAATTGGCATAGATATGAGCGACACATCTCAAAGAACAAGTTACAAAGGTGAGTAAACATTTTTTAAAGTGCTCTACAAATCACACACTTGTAATCCAGACTATGGCACAATATAGACAAAGTATTAGAGGCTTATTTATATTTGTAAATGAAATCACAACTTCCTGATGTTTGCCTGGTAAGGAGGAAACTCTTCATCTAGAAGCTTTGAAGAGAGAACATAAGCTAAGCATAGTAGTCTGAAAATTCACACTTGGCAGTGCCAATTACTCTTCAACTTCCCTTCAAATCTGTGAGAGTTGAAGGTGGTCAGCACATTTCAGGATTGAGCCATAATTGAAAGAAATTCCCACCATATTTAAAATATGAAATGATTTTGGAATACAAATTCACTTTTGTCTTCTCTCTGTGAGTTTTTTGTTTAAAATTTTTGAAGTGCAGTAATCACAATCCAAGGCATAATGCACATGCTGTGCATTAATTTTTTCTGCCACTATAAGCACTCTGGCAATCATCCTCCATTATACTTCAGTAGGATTTCGCTCTCCTCTACCTGCCCAGTTTAGGACATGAACTGTTAATAATTAAACTTTATAAGTGTTCAGATTGCTATGTTTGTTGTTTATTTATTAACGTTGGAGTAGTTGTTAGAACAGTGTGTTAGTTTAAATAAAACCATGGGACAGAAGCCTGATAAGTAGATAGAAAGCCTTGGATTCCTAGTCCATCAGTACACATAGAATTCAAGTTGCTAGTGACTAGGAGTTATTACCTGGTAATGTGTGTTTTGAATTATATTACTTTGAATTAAATTTGTCAGGTGAATCTGTGGCTCAGGCAAATTCCTAGAGGATAAGGGTCCATATCAAAAAAGTGAGAAGGGAAATGCCAAGTGCTTGTGTAAGGAGCCTGAAGTGTTTTCTAATCCCTTTGGTGTTGGGAAGCGGGGAGGGCCACTGGAAATGTGGTGTGAAGAAATTTCAGTTTTGTTTTCCCTATCTTTCTATAGCCTTTATTTCGATATTCCTCCTTCCCATCCTCTTCTTCTCAAGCGTCCCATTTTCTCCTTCTATCTGTATAACCTCCAAGCATAACTCCACCCATTCTTTCCCTGATCTTCTCCAAAACAAGATTGTTTCTTTTTTTAAATTCCACATGTTCTGGGACAAGTCAAAGGATTTATTGCATTTTAGCTTAATGGAAAACAGTGACAAAGACAAGTGGCTACTGACTGCAGGAATAAAAAGAGATGCTGAACAACATAAAAAGAGTGCTGAACAGTATAAATGAAACTTACTGTTTGCTCTCTGTAATAGAGGACAAATGACTTGGCATATGGAACCTTTCTAAAGAATGTTACTACATATTTTCCCAGGATCTATTCCTCCATTAGTTTCATTAATAAATTTTGCCTGTTTATGCTAGTTCACTGGTCCTTTATCTCATTCTCATAGTCACAGAAATGATTTGTCTTTATTAAAACTTAGCACAAACAGACCTTTGCTTATTATTTTGAACAGCTTGATAAAGGAGCTTTACAATCAGTAGCTAGCAGTGCCACATTCCAATCAGAAGTAAATCTTCAAGGGCCAACAAAAACAACTTTAGTTGGGTAAGAAACACAAAACTTTTAATTTGCTGCTAATTTCAGTGGCAAGTTATTTTGTACAGTTGTAATATTTCTTATTGTTATGGAGAGTTCACTTCTAGTACTGATATTGTTCTTAATATGTCTTCCCCCCACTCTCCATAAAGAAAGCATTTCTGTTATAGTAATGCTGTTTGAGTTTAAATACATACATTTTTAATAGGTAAGGTGTCAAGTTGGTGCTCCAAAATATGTAGCATAGTTCCTGAGTTCTGTAGGACCAATAAACATTGTTGCAGTTACAGTTGGACACAGAAGAGAAGGCAATTGACATGGAGGAACTAATAGAAACTGCAGATTGCTGTGATGGTAGCTTTATTGTTCTTCAGCAAAACTGATGGTAAGAGGAAAGTGAAGCTTTGCATAGAGGTGGGGGTGTGCTCCAACATTTAAAGAGCCTAGGACATTACATTTCTCCACTACATTTAAAAAAAAAATCCCTTTATGTATGTATGTATGTATCTATGTGATCATTTGTATGGCTAACATTAAACACTATAAAGACTTTACAATGAGCTTCACTGACATGTTGCTCATCTATCCAACTTTTTCAAAAACTTTGGAGTATCTGCCCAGTGTTTCTTGAAGATTTCTGGGTGCTTCTGTTATCACCTTGCCCTTGATCCAGTTCACCTTGAGTTCTCAATTCAAGATCTGACAGATAATGGTGGGTACTTTCCTTCAAAGATAGAACAACTGATCGTCCATGAAGGTGAACTTTCACCTGGCGTATCCCTTTGTGGACTAACTTTTCTCCATTATAAGCCTTCAGAACAATGGCAGTGTCTTCCAGAGAAGGGGTTCTCAACCTTTTTCTTTCTGAGGCCAGCCTAATGTGCTATTAAAAACACCATGAGCCACTTGTGCCATAACATCTGCATATTTTAGAAGATTAAAAGCCAGAGCTAGCATTGAGGCATAGAAAGCAGGGCAATTGCCTTAGGCCTCACACCACAAGAGCCCTGTGAAGCTACGTTGTTTGGGCTTTGGCTTCAGTCCAGGCAGTGGGAGTCAGGCTTCAGCATCTGCCCCAGCTCCCAATGTGTCTAATACCAGCTCTGTTTTCTGGTTTATTTTGGCCGACTCCATGAAACCTGCCTGTGATCCCCCAGGGGGCCCTGTAGCCCTGTTCAGAACCATGGAGGAACTTGTGATAATATCTGGTGATAGGTAGATGCATAAATAAATGAAATGGTAGCTCCAGTATCAAGATGCATTCTTGCAGGAACTCTCTCAATCAAGAGTGTGACCAAGATAGCATCTCTTACCCTAGCTTCTGATAAGTAATGTCATGCTAGGTCTTGATCTGAATAACTAGATCTCATCTCTTTCCACATAATGAATTCCCAATTTCTGTCCTTTCTTAGGTTCAGTCTTCATAAGCTTCTTAAGCGCCCATGACCCTCTGTCTTGCCAATCTAGGGATACGTCTAGACTACATGCCTCTGATGACAGAGGCATGTAGATTAGACTACCCGGCATAGGAAAATGAAGCGGCGATTTAAATAATCGCCGTTTCATTTAAATCGCTGCCGCGCTGAGCCAATCAGCTGTTTGTCAGCTCAGCGCAGTAGTCTAGATGCTCAGCGGTTGACATCAAAGGCATTTGTCAACCTCCCAAGTATGCCTCACTTTACAATGAGCTTCACTGACATGTTGCTCATCTATCCAACTTTTTCAAAAACTTTGGAGTATCTGCCCAGTGTTTCTTGAAGATTTCTGGGTGCTTCTGTTATCACCTTGCTCTTGATCCAGTTCACCTTGAGTTCTCAATTCAAGATCTGACAGATAATGGTGGATACTTTCCTTCAAAGATAGAACAACTGATGAGGCATACTTGGGAGGTCGACAAATGCCTTTGATTATTTAAATCGCTGCTTCATTTTCCTATACCGGGTAGTCTAATCCACATGCCTCTGTCGCCAGAGGCATGTAGTCTAGACGTACCCTAGGAGATTAACTTCTTGATTCACATTAAATTTCAACAAATCCTTTTCCGTAGTCTCTATGACAGTTGCTATCTCACCAGCCTTCTGACACAGTCAGTAATTTTTTCCAAATCTTGTAATTGAGTAATCCAGAGGCAAATTGGTCATATAAGGCATCACATAGGCTGTGTCTACATTGGCGCGATCTTGCGCCAAAGCGACCGCTTTAGCGCAAAAACATGCTGCCTGTTTACACTGGCAGGGAGTTCTTGCACAAGAACACTGATGTTCTAATGTGTGAAATCAGTGCTTCTTGCGCTAGAACTATGATGCTCCCGCTCAGGAATAAGCCCTCTTGCACAACTGTTCTTGCGCAAGAGACCAGTGTAGACGGGCAACATGAATTTCTTGCACAAGAAAGCCTGATGGTTAAAATGGCTATCGGAGCTTTCTTGTGCAAGAGAGTGTCTACGCTGGCACGGATGCTCTTGCACAAAAGCACATCTCTGGCGCAAAGGCACATGCCAGTGTAGATGCTGTCTTGCGCAAATACTTTAGCGCAAGAACTCTTACGTTAAAGAGTATTCATGCTAGATCATGCCAATGCAGACGTAGCCTTAATGTTTATCAGAACTGACTGTGTTCTGACAACATCCTTAGGGCAACAACAAATTGTACTGTGGACTTGTCACCTTCCCAATATCACTGATGGAACCAATATTGTTATGCTGGCATCAATGGGATCAGAGAAAAAAAATTCTGCATTGTTGCAGTAATTGTGGCAGATCAGAGCACAGCTGAAGACAGTAGGTCACACAGCAGTCTGCATGCCTTTGAACCTGTTACTGTCAGCAAGATTGAAGCTATCTGAAATTGAATTGCAAGCAACACATGGCTCAAAATGTTCAAGGTACATCATTCATGGTTTCTGGTTTTCATCCAACTCACCAACATTGCCAACAAAAGTTGCCATTTCTCTGCTCTCCTATTGGACTTTACATTTCCCGAAGATCTTCTTTCTCACAGTGAAACTTTTTTCTTTTACTATACACTAGCTGCATTTAATCCATCTCTTCTGTTGTGCTCCCTCTGCTGGCTGAAGACCCTTAGCCCAGGTTACAGGTTGTTCCTCTCTCTGCCAGCTTGCATAAAGTCAGTAAGGTTGCCAGATGGTTTCAACAAAAATACCAGACACACTTGACATTACATCACAATCTACATTACCTCTTATTTAGAAAATACCGGATGTTTATGTTTTCTCATTTATATTTTTTCAATTTGTTTCCCGAACAGAAAGCTCAAATACTGGACTGCCCAGTTCAAAACTGAACACCTGGCAACCTTAGCAGTCAGCCAAGGTGGCGGCTTGCTTCTTTCTCAGAACTTTATTTGCACAAATCCAGCAGTATTTTCAGAATCCTTTATCCCTTGTTCAATTCTATATTTTACTTCTCTCTCTCACAGTCCCTGCAGCAAAAAGAAGCAGTTTGTCATCTTGTGCTTCTTGAGTCTAGAAGAACTTTTTTTCTTTTAATGATGATAATTGTCTTCATCAGTACTGAACACTCATGAGATTAAAAATTCTTCATCACTAATATGTTCAATTTGAAGCCAGCACTAATGGAGATAGATACAGAGAAAAAATTGCACTGGAGTTAAGGGGAATATTCAAACATATAAAGGGACAGGACATAACACTGTATGCACTCTGCAAATGGTGGCATCTGCTGTTCAGCTCTATGTGGAGCACTTAATTTCAACCACTCTTTGTCTTACTCTACAATGCTATATTGGTTCCATCAATGATAAATGCCCCAGTAATAAGATGAAGTTGCAGTCTGAGATCCTTAAAATGAAACAAATCCAGTATTGTGCAATCCTCTTGCTTATCTCAGAGACATTTCTTTCAGTTATCATCTTCCCAAGGTGAAACTTACGCCTAGGATATTAGCAAGTTACATGATGATTTCTCTTGAACAAAGTGAGTAAGTCTGGGAAATAATGGCGTATGAATTGGGCTGGTTCACTATATCAGATGGAAGGAAGTATTGCTGCCATGTGGTGGATCCAAAATTGTAATCCACTCTTAGTGGTGCCTATTAATTTTGGGTGTGGTATGTAAAGGGGTAAATAACAGTTCCTTATTCACTTTCTCCACACCATTCATGATTTTACTGACCTTTGTCATAGCCCTCCTTGGTCATTTTTTTTCCAAGCTAGAAAGCCCTAGTCATTTTAATCTTTCCTCATATGCAAGTTTTATTGCTCTTCTCTGCAACTTTTCAATTCCAGTATGTTCTTTTGATAGTGTGACCAGATGTCACATTTTTAAAGGAACAGTCCCGTATTTAAACTCGCCTGCAGGTGTCCCAACTTTTTTTTTTAAGGTAAATTGTCTCATATTTTCTGTCCCCATCACAACTGATTCTGTCTGGATCCCTGGTCACCAGGCATCTGTCTACCAGTAATGAATGGAGGGGTCCAGTGGCCAACATGGGGAGTGGATGTGCAAGGCTTTTGGCAGAGCAAAGCTGCAGTGTGCAGGACTGGCTGTTCCCACTGCATGTCAGCTCTTGGCCAGCAGGGTCTGCAGCCTGTGGTGGCTGGTGAGTATGGGCTGGCACTAGGCGGCTGACAGTTACCTGTCACCTCTGCAGCCCTTAACATGCTTCCTCTTTTGTCCTGTCCCTGATTTGCCCCTTCCTCACAAATGGAGCATGTCCCACTCCCAGTGCTTTGTAGAGAACCAGCTCCTGATTGGAGCGCTAAGCTCACCAACAGCCTGGCTAGTAGGCTCCTTCCTTCCCCCACAGCCACTGGCTGAGTTGGCACCCTGGGAAAGTCCAAGACCCTCCAGTCCAAGGTGCTGGCCAGGAGTGGACAGGGAGGGTCAGGTCCCATTCCCTGTGTCAGAGGAGTGCAGGGATGTGTGTGTCTCGCCTCTCCCCATGTGAATTCTAAAGACTTAAAGATACGGTAAATAAAAAAAAATCCAATTTGCAGTATTTCTTGCTATCTCTCTCCATTCTGAAAACTGACCATTAATTCCTTTTTCCTTCCCTTTAACCAGTTACTGATTCATGAGAGGACCTTCCGGGCTTGTCTACACTGGCCCCTTTTCCGGAAGGGGCATGTTAATTTCACCTATCATAGTAGGGAAATCCGCGGGGGATTTAAATATCCCCCGCGGCATTTAAATAAAAATGTCCGCCGCTTTTTTCCGGCTTTTAGAAAAGCCGGAAAAGAGCGTCTACACTGGCCCCGATCCTCCGGAAAAAGCGCCCTTTTCCGGAGGATATTATTCCTACTTTGAATAAGTAGGAATAAGATCCTACGGAAAAGGGCGCTTTTTCCGGAGGATAGGGGCCAGTGTAGACGCTCTTTTCCGGCTTTTTTAAAAGCCGGAAAAAAGCGGCGGACATTTTTATTTAAATGCCGCGGGGGATATTTAAATCCCCCGTGGATTTCCCTATTACGATCTCTGAAATTAACATGCCCCTTCCGGAAAAGGGGCCAATGTAGACGTAGCCTCCCTGTTATCCCATAATTGTTTACTTTACTTAAGAAACTTTGTTGAGGAACCTTGTCAAAGACTTTCTGAAAGCGCAAGTGTATGTTGTACCTCCCTTAACCGGGACTCTTCGGTCCGACAACAGACCACAGGTGTTCCTGGACCACGGAGTCCAGGTATAGAGAGGTTGGGCCACGGGGAAGGAGTGGCGGGAGAAGAAGGGGGCATGGAGACTCAGCCAGGAGCCAGGCAGGGTGCAGAGGAGCAGGCAGTGCAGCAGAGAGCTATTGCCCTGCGGCCAGGAGGTAGTGGGGGCCCAGCAGTGGCAGGTGCAGAAAAATGGCTCCCCCCATGGAGTTTGGGGACTACAACGGCAGCTTTGGAGCTCAGGGAGCCCCGGCTGTGGAGCTCTATCCCTGGCTATGAAGCTCCTCCCCCCCCAACCCCAGCGGCAGCCACGGCCAGGCAGGCAGCAGTGGGGCTAAGCTGGAGCCTTAGCTGGGGCAGCAGGACAGCACAGGCCGTGTTGGAAGGGACCTCCCCATGTCCAGCAAATCCCCTTGTTAGGTCCTGAGGGTGCACGTTGAGGGAGGTCCAACCTGTACATTGTATCCACAGAGATACCCTTGTTCATATATTTGCTGATCCCTTCAAAGGATTCTATTTAATTTCCCTTTACAGAAGCCATGACCTATATCTTTTTCCTTCTCTTCTCCAAACTTTGAAAAACTCTTTGTAATGCTGCAGATTTATCCCATACTCTAATTCTTCAATAGAACTGTGGCTGAAAATTCAGTAAAAACTAGAATCTCCTCTCTCCACATCACCTTTCCACAGGCCCAATCACATCCACGGTTCTTTCCTTTCTTTCAACTCTGAAATAGTTCAAAAGTCTGGCATTTGTTTATTTCGTACTACAGGCAGTCCCCGGGTTACGTACAAGTTAGGGACTGTAGGTTTGTTCTTAAGTTGAATTTGTATGTAAATCGGAACTGGTACATATTGTAGGGGAAACTCTAGCCAAACATTTCTCCAGAGCTCAGTTTTATTCTCCCACACCTCACTTCCCTCAGTCCTTTATTCGCAAGCTGAGGTGTCTGCTGAGAAAAACTGGGGGAGGCGCTAGCTTTGCGTCTCTCTGGTCTGCTGGGGGAAAGCAGCTAGTGCAGGGTTGCCTCACCCCGTTTGTAAGTAGGGATCCGATGTAAGTCGGATCCATGTAACCCGGGGACTGCCTGTATATTAAAAATTCAGAAAAGATGTTTGTCTTACATCTCCCAGTCCATCCTATAGGCCTGCTCTATGTTTCAGCAGACTCCATAGAATAGCTGATGTGATGTTACCAGCATAGCACATGTGAGATATCACTTGGAAGCAGTGATTTGTACTTCGGGGACATGAAAGAATAAAATGTGTACATTTAAAAAGTTAATTTATGTGCTGATTACTCTAAATCTAACTATGGGGAATTTAGCATGTAATTCTTTAGCTAATGACTCTTTCTTAATCATTTTGTATTTGCAAATCATCTTTAAATATTATTGATGCTAAAAATGCCTGTATTTGCCTTTTGAGGAAAAATCATAATTAATTTTCATAGGATTTTACTCTCAAATATAATCTAATAGTTTTTTTTCTTTAATTCTTATAGATTGCCTCTTAGTTCATGGGATACAAAGTCTAAAAAACCATGTAACTGTACCAAATCTCAATGTTTGAAATTGTAAGTAAGCTTTCATTATGAAATATGAGCTAAGTTTATTTTGGAAAAAGCAAAGCTTAAAAAAATGCAAAACAGAATACATGCGTGTTCCAAAATACAGAATTACAGGTTGTACCTACCTGGTCCAGCACCCTCGGGACCTGACAAATCCTGAACCAGGCAGTTCGCTGGACCAGGGGAGGTCAATGGTGGCCCCTCTGCTGCTGGCCTCCAGACTTTCCCCCAACTGCTGGGTTCCCCTGCTGACTGCTGGACCCACTCCTGCCAGCTTCTCTGCTGTCAGCCCAGGTGGACACCTGAACGTCAGCCTCCTGCCATGCTCCCAGTCCAACCAGGTCCTAACCCAACTCCTAACCACTTGGGCTCTCTGGTCAAGGAACATCCATAGTCCTGGTGGACCACAGATGTTGCTGACCAGAGAGTCCTGGATTAGAGAGGTTCAACCTGTAGTATGTTGAATTAAAACCAGAGAGGGTCAAATCAGATCATTAGTGGGTGTAAATTAGTGAACCCCAATTTGGTTACTGTAGCTTTGCCTGTTTAAACCACCTGTGGATCTGGCCCAGAGATGTGCATGTCTACTGCATATGGTCCAGAATTTTGAAGAATAAAACTTGAAGCTAAATATGTGGCAAAAAGATTATAAAATTGTATCAGTTTCTGTATACTTGAGGCTCTCTCTCTCTCTCTCTCCCTCCCTGTGTGTATATATACACAGAGAGAGATGCTGATACAATTTCATTATGTCATTATGTTCCTTGAGTGATTGCTCATGTCAATTCCAATTTGGTGGGTGCATGCTGCGTACACAGTAGCCAGATGATTTCCTCCAGCAGTATCCTTTAGGCCAGCCTGGAATCATGCCTTCATGGTGCTCGATATAGGGCCCTGCTGATCCACCACCCCTTCAGTTTCTTCTTACCACCAATGACAGCTAACTAGAACATTCTGTTGCTCTTGTGTCAGCAAATGCTTTCTTGGCAATGTTCACTTTTTGGTGTATATAGTTGTTGTTAATAGTTATAGCAATTAGTTATAATTTGTAAGCTTCGTTTGGGGGCTTTTCCCCCTCCAGTGCTCCTCCAGCACCAGGGCATGCCTCGGTCACCAAGGTTTAAATTCTATGAGCACTCTGGCAAATTTATTCCCAGGAGTGACCCTCACACTTCCCTTGAGGAGTGTCACCAGAAGAAGTGCAGGATCTGTAAGGGGTTTTGCCCCAGGACCTTAAAAGACTGGGAGAAAAGGCTCAAGATCCTCCTCTTGGAGGCTGCACAGTGACCACAGTCCGACTCCAGGTCAGCAGAGCCCAAGCCCAGCACCTGCTCATCTGTGTGTTAATGGTCCAGCACTGTCAGTGCATGAGCTGGTACTGAGGAAGGGCTCCAAACAGACTCAACACTGCCACAACTCCACAGTCAGTCTTCTGTGAGTCACCAGTCTCAGTCCCTGGTGCCCCAGAAGAAGAGGAGACCAGAGAGCTCAACCAAGCCTTGGGAGACACAAACTGGGCCATGTTACTTTCCCCTGTCACCTCCCAGGGTCTCGTCAACTCATGCCCCTTCAGGTGTCCAGTGGAATCCTGACCCTCAGCACTTCCCAAACCAGTGTTGCTGAGAGCTTCAGTTCCCTTCTACACTGGAAGTGTTCAAGGTGGCCTAGGATCTTATACACTGCACAACACAGTCCTCCCCACAGAGGAATAACATGTTGCCAATGACTGGCCAACCCCAGATCCTGTCAAGAAGCAAGCCAGCAACGAGGGTGTAGTGCTGTCCATCTTCAACATTCCACTCCCCATCATGGTCCACTCATATTGGGGAGCTGCTCTAGTCCCTCAGTTACAGGCATTGCTCACTGCCACCGTGGAGCACTACTCCTCCTCCATGATCTTCCCTCTCAGAGACCTCAGAGTTGAAGGCAGAATGCTATCACTCTGAGAGCACCAGGAGCAGAGGTGCTGGTCCTGGTGTGACTGCCACCCCTTTCTGGTACCATGGTCAGCCCAGTGACAACCCCTGACACAATGACCCTTTTGGACACCCTGGGCTTACTATCAGCGTGAAGGACAGAACCAAGTGGGTAAGGGGTACAGTGGAGGTAAGTGGGAGTGGAGCAGGAGTGGGAATAGGTAGAATCTGTGGTAGGGGGTGTCCTAGGCCTCATGGTCCTCTCCAGCAGCCCTAATAGGCAATATCATTTGAAGTTTCTGGCAGTTCCACACAATCACAAATGGGAATTGCCTGAAACTCCAGGGACACGTGACTGCTTGTACTTTTGTAATGTAGCATGCCAGGCTCAGACTCCAAAGATGACAGTCATGGCTAGCCTCGGTGTATGATCTGGTTCAGGACAGTTTGACAGGGTTGTGACTCTCCCTTGCCCAATCCTTGGCCAGATCTGGCCTGCCAAGCTGTTTGATCTGGCCCGCGACCCGTCCTGCCACACCCGCACCCCCAGGTCAATCAAGGCTTGAGGGCAGGGTTGCATGCGAAGTCCCCTCCTCTTGCCAGGGGCGCACAGCGCCTAGAGGGAACGACCAGCTGTTCCCTCTAGGCACTGCATGTCCTGGAGAGGACAGGAGAGAGCGACTTCATGTGCTACTCTGCCTTCATGCTCCAATTCACGGGGGTGTACGTGAAGTCTCCTACCCCTGCCAGGCATGTGTGGCACCAGTGGGAACCGTCAGCTGTTCAAAATGGCTGTCAGTACCCTTTGGGCGCTAGGTGCCACTAGCATGGCAGTCTCCTACTCTCCCCACCATGCGGTGCCTAGAGGGACCCGCCCTTTCTTCCTAGGCCCCACCTCTTCTATCTGATGCCCCACCCCTTCTGGGGGCAGAGCTGGCCTGGGAACCACTACCAAAATTTGTGAAGTGGCCCCCCCCTATAAAAATTATTGCCCACCCCTGACTTAGCATGTCAGACTTTCCCAGCTCACTTGGCAGAGAGACCTTATATGCTGAACAGCGATGACAAATAGCACTACGTGATGTTATATCAACAAACATGAGTGCATGCTCCTTTCCTCTGTACCAGGAAGCCCTCATGCTGTGGGATTTTTGTGTAGTTCATTCCTTTCCCTTGCGAGCATCATACTTTCCTGAAGTATAGAACACGTTGGTGGACTATCTCAGCAGATTGCTCCATGGCTACAAGTTGTCGCTGCACCCGGACATTGTGTACTCCATCTTCAACAGTGGGGGTTTCCCCAGATAGATGTATTTGCCACCTGATGCATCAGGAAGTGTCAGCAATTTTGCTTCTTCCTGAATCACAGCCTGGGCTCCACCTTGGACACTTTCCTCCTCCCATGGAGAGACCACCTCCTATACGTGTTCCTTCCCATCTCTCTTGTTTGCAAGGTGTTCCTCAAAGTACAGAGGAAAGAAGCTTCAGTAATATTAATAGCCCCAGCCAGGTCCTGCCAACACCAGTACATATCTCTTCAGTCCTCTTGCCACTCTTCCCAGACTTGTTAACTCAAGATCATGACTGTCTCTAGCACCCGCATTTCAAATCATTTTTGCACCTCATGTGTGGAAGCACCATCATTTTAACCCAGTGGAACTTGCTTGTTTAGACACAATCAGACAAGTTCTACTTCGCAGTAGGAAGCCTTCCACCAGAGCTGTCTACCTGGTCAAGTGGAAGAGATTTTTAATCTGGTCAGCAAAACACTGTCTCCAACACTCATGCCCATACTCCTTACACTGGACTGTTTCCTTTATTGTAAGCATCAGAGGCTGTCCATGACATTAGTAAAGATTCACTTGGCCACCATTTCTGCCTTCCATGCAGGCTCTGAGAGCCAGTCCCAACCAGCCCTTGGTTAGCCATTTCCTGAAAGGTCTCAACAGGCTATATCTATGTGTCCGACAGCCAGTCCTAGCCCAGAACCTCAGTCTGGTCTTTTCCAGACTGGCAGAGCTGTCCTTTGAACTTCTGGAGACATGCCTTCAGCTCTATGGGTGTGTCTAGATTACAGGGTTTTGTCGACAAAAGTGGACTTTTGTTGACAAAACTATACCTGCATCTACACTACCGCCAAGTTCTGTCGACATAATGTCGACAGAACTTGGCAGTTTTGTTGATGGTGGTAAACCTCATTCTACTGGGAATAATGCCTTTTGTCAACAGAGTTCTGTCGACAGAAGGCGTTATTGCATCTACATTGTCCTTTGCGTCTACACTGTCATGTCGACAAAGCGGCTTGCTTTGTCAACAGAACTGGATGTAGTCTAGACGCTCTTTGTCGACAGAAGCTTTGTCGACAGTATCCGTCGACAAAGCCTCTGTCGACAAAAGCCTATAGTCTAGATGTACCCTATCTGTCATACAAGCTGCCATTTCTGGTAGCTATAACCTCATCTAGGAAGGTGTCTGAACTGAAGGCCCAAACATCAAAGCCTTTATACACTGTGTTCTATAAGGACAAAGTTCAGCTCAGATCACATTCAGCATTCTTCCCTAAGGTTTTATCTCCCAATTTCACATCAACCAGGACATCTTTCTGCCAGTTTCTACCCTAAGCCACATGCAAACTGCAGGGAACAAAGATTTCACTCGCTGGATGTTCGCTGGGCATTTTTATATTGAGTGAACCAAGCCGTTCCAGAAGTCCATTCAGTTGTTCTTCATGGTAGTGGACGGAATGAAAAGGCTCCTCATATCTTCCCAAGGAATTTTGTTATAGATCACATCCTGCATCTGGGAATGCTACAACTTGGGGAAAATACTTGCACCTTTGCTTACAGCACTGTCCACCAGGTCACAGGCTTAGTCAATGATGTTCCTGGAACAAGTTCCAACCCAGGAAATATGACGAGTGGTGATGTGATTCTTCATTCATACACTACCATCACATGATGCCATTACCCATCAAGCCAGAGAAGATGTAGTTTTTGTATAGCAGTGCTTCAATCAGTGAACATTTAAGCTCCAACCCTGCCTTCCAAACTTAGGCTTGGAAATCACCAAATTGAAGCTGACATGAACAATCACTCAAAGAAAAAACGGTTATTAACCTTCTTATAATTGTTGTTCTTCAAGATGTGTTGTTCGTGTCCTTTCCAATACCTATCCTCCTACTCTTCTGTTGAATAGGCAGCAAGAAGGATCTGAGAGTTTGGCAGGGCCCTATATTGAGAGCCTTGAAGACGCTACCCTATGGGATACCCAGACTGACTTGACAGATACTGCTGGGGAAAAGTCTTCTGACTGACATGCACACAGTTCTTGCATACCAAATTAGAATGGACATGAGCAACACATAAGAACAGCAATAGTGGGTCAGACCAAAGGTCCATCCAGTTCAGTATCCTGTTTTCCAACGGTGGCCAATGCCTGATGCCCCAGAGAAAATGAACAGAATAGGGAATCATTCCCTGTTGCCCATTACCAGCCCTGACAATCAGAGGCTATGGCAGTCAGGGGCAACCTAGGCTACTGAGTGGGCTGCATGAGTGGCCCTCTTCATCTCAGTGGGCCACAAGATTGTGCTACGAAGACAGTCTCCTGGGATAGGGTAGTTTTGCTAACTGCACTTACTTACCTAGAATTTGTGAGATGTTGCCAATTGAACCGTATCAGCTCTTTTATTGCATGCAGGGGGGGCACACAGCTCTTACAGTCTATGTTCTGTGAAACCAGCATGTACCTGTCTTCACGTGCCCTTGCTTTACATGAGTGTCACTTTAGTAATACCAATAGGGAAAAAACTACATGAATGGAAACCAGTGAAATCTGGCAACCCTGCGTGTGGGCAACAGTAAACAAAATATCTCGTGGGCCACACGTGGAACGCAGATGGGTTGCGTGTGGCCTGCAGGTTGCCCACCACACCATCCCTGCCCTGGCTAATAGCCATTAATGGATCTATGCTCCGTGAATATATATAGTTCCCTGTTAAAGTCTTGGGCCTCACATCTCAAACAACAGTTACAAGAAGGTTTGTAACTTTTTTTTTTTTGCCTAGATTATAAAATGTATGAGACACAACTAAGCATCTGATATAGTTTGTGTATGAGATGTATATGTTTCTTGTTTGATAACCAGAAATTCTTTCTTGAAACAGGAGAATGATGAAAAATAGGGGTTTTTATATTTTATATTTTGCTTTGTTAATCACAGATACTGTGATTGCTTTGCCAATGGTGATTTTTGCAACAACTGCAACTGCAATAATTGTTACAACAATCCATTTCATGAAACTGAGCGCTTTAAAGCTATTAAGGTAATAAAAATCCAATATGTATCTAGTTCACACAGGAAAAATATATATGTATTTTGTTTGGTTTTGTTATGGCTTAAAATTCTGTAATTTAAAATCATATGATTTAAAACCTAGATGAAATGGAATATAGTCTGTATTTATTTTTTAATTAAAAAGTTAAGAATTTTCATTCACTTTATAGGCCTTTTCATCCTTTCGAACCATAGCAGTACTATTTTAACTAAACTGGGATGTATGTCTTCAAAAAATGACAGGGAAATGGAGCATATCAGAATTTAATTAACAAGTGTGTTGTGAGCAAGACACGAGAAGTCATTCTTCCGCTCTACTCTGCGCTGGTTAGGCCTCAGTTGGAGTATTGTGTCCAGTTCTGGGCACCGCATTTCAAGAAAGATTTGGAGAAATTGGAGAGGGTCCAGAGAAGAGCAACAAGAATGATTAAAGGTCTAGAGAACATGACCTGTGAAGGAAGGCTGAAAGAATTGGGTTTGTTTAGTTTAGAAAAGAGAAGACTGAGGGGTGATATGATAGCCGTTTTCAGGTATCTAAAAGGGTGTCATAAGGAGGAGGGAGGAAACTTGTTCATCTTGGCCTCTGAGGATAGAACAAGAAACAATGGACTTAAACTGCAGCAAGGGAGGTATAGGTTGGACGATAGGAAAAAGTTCCTAACTGTCAGGGTAGTTAAACTCTGGAATAAATTGCCCAGGGAGGTTGTGGAATCCCCATCTCTGGAGATATTTAAGAGTAGGTTAGATAAATGTCTATCAGGGATGGTCTAGACAATATTTGGTCCTGCCATGGGGGCAGGGGACTGGACTTGATGACCTCTCAAGGTCCCTTCCAGTCCTAGTATTCTATGAAATCTATGAAATTAAGAAAAGTTTTCCACTTGGAAGAAAAAACTTGTTATGTCTCAAAATCAAACAGAAGAAATTGATATTCAATTTGCTATCCATCCTGGCAGATCCAAACAGCTCAGTGGTATGAGCATCTTACAGGGCTTTTTGTTAGTCTTTCTATATTACTCATGTAGCAATGTAAGACTTTAATGGCAGCCATGTTAAACCCTGCTTTCTTGGAAGGAAGGTTACCTTCAAATATGGAGTCTTTGATTGACCTTTGTGTGGAATAAAGATTAAAAAAAAAAGGCAATATTGTATATCTGTGTCAGCTGTTACTAGGGAATCATATTATCTAGATAGTTTTTGTAAAATTCGTAACATAAAATAAATCTATTGTCAGTAGGTGCTTTGCAGTAGCTGTATTACTTGGTCTGTGCTCCTAATGTGCAACTGTCAGGAAATCTCCAGTATGGTTCTAAGTACTGTGAGCAGCGTTGGTAGTAGCTGATGCTGATCTCATCAGACAGAGTTTTTTTCACATCTGATCACACAAAGCCATGGCACTTCATTTCATTATAGTCCTTGGACTGCTTTCTGTGTCAGCTTGGCTCATTGGATGGTAAAGCTGGAGATGTTTGGACTCTTCTAGGAGGTGCCTGAAGTTCTCCTTGCTACTTCAGAGTGCATCCTGAAGAATATATTTAGGGGAATATATTTGGTTAGTGTTTCAGTTTAGTGTATCAATGTGCTGAAGAGAGACCAATTTCTCTGCTGTCCCTTTTCCTCAGATTCGTGAGGGGCTTGTTACATTTAAAATACTGGGTGCCATGAAATCTTAAGGCTAGGTTGAAAACCCATTGAAGTCAACTGAAAGATCCATTAGTGCAATATTTATATATCATATGAAACCTCCTCAGACAAATACCAGTGGCTTCAAGGTTTGTACACAAAATGTTTTATTGCTGGAGACAGTGGCTTCAGCTTGCAGAGAGCTTTAGGGTTTAGTGGTTGAGCCATAGTATATAATTTATTAAGAGTAATATGGGTATGTATCAAATTAATCCTAAGTGACCTGGAGAGAGTAAGAATCACTAATGTTTTTCATAACAGGGACAGCACTTGGTCCCCTTGAGGGAGTCCTATCAGCTCAGAATTTTGAGTTATGTGATAGGAATTCTTTACACTTGAGATATCCAGATTCAGATGCACGAGTCTATTGACCTACCTCAGAGACTGAGGAATACTACTTCTTTCATAAGCACAGTTGATCTTGTATTTTACATAAAGAAAATGTTTGTGAATGTCTCTCATACATACAAACATTTCTTATTCTAGGCTTGTCTTGATAGAAACCCAGAAGCTTTCCTACCAAAGATTGGGAAAGGGAAACTAGGAGATATTAAACCTCGCCACAACAAAGGATGTAATTGCAAGCGCTCAGGGTGTCTTAAGAATTATTGTGAGTGCTTTGAGGTTAGTCAAGTGAAACTTCTGAGCATTTCTTAACAGAAATTGACATATTCTGATCCAGCTGTTTCTGCATAAATAATGTTAGACACTAACATAAATATTTTTATGTTTTTCTTCTCAGATTGTTCATTCTAAATCTTAGTGAAATTAGGGGGACATTTTTTTTCTGGCTGTGGCTCACCAGCTAAGAATTTCATCATGAGGTGTAGGAGGTCTCATCCAGCCCCTGTACCAACTACACTACTTGTTCCAGTGTAAGGGACAGGGAAAGGATGGACGTAGGGATGTAAAGGAGTAGTTAACTACCGGATAAGTCAATGCTTGTCAGGAAGTCAAGTTGACTACTCGCATTCCCCAGCCCCCCTTGCTGCCTGTGTATCAGAGGCAGCAAGGGGGGCAGGAAGCAGAAGTTGGTGCTGGGGAGAGCCGGCTTAAAAGCTGGTCCCCTCAGCACTGTATCCACGGTGCCACCCATCCCTGCTCCTGCTGTTGCCTCTATCAAAGGCAGCTGTGGGCAGGGGCTATTTTGTGGTAGCAGTCCCTGTGTGTGGGAGGTCCCAAATCCCCGCTGGGACCCCTGCACACAGGGGCTACTGTTGCCTGGGCAGACAGCCTGGCTCAGTTCTGGCTCATGTCAGGTTCGGGACCAAACCCCGCTGTAGCTCTGCAATTTAAAAGGCAGGAGGAGTTGGGGTCCAGCACAAGCCACAACTGAGCTGGGCTATCAACTAATCGAGTAGTTGATAAAAATGCTATCAACTACTCAATTAGTTAAATACCTGCGTTTTAACATCCCTAATTGGCAGGGGCAAAGAACAACTATGCTTTACCAGTTCTCATCCCACACCTGATCAAAAAGTCCGTGCAAAGTTTCCCTTAGGCTTGAGTGGACTTTGGATCAAGACTAAAGTACAGATTTTTCATGTCCATATGGAAAGATGACTCAGTTATTTCTGTGACATTGTCCCTGATACATCAAAGTCCTGCACGTGTCTGGAGTTCAAGCTGGGGGAGCTGAAGGAGACTAGGCAGGCTGAAGGGAAGGTGAGAATGGGCCGTGTGCAATGTCGGAAGCATAAACGTTATTCTCCTTTGTGTCCCCACAGAGAATATTTGGAAAAGCTGATGATAGCCCCTTGCTCTATTGAATTTTCTCTAATCTCCCTCCAGGGTAAATCTGGTAGTACAGCTCCCAATGGTACCCCTCCAATACTTATGTATGTTTAGTAATTTATTACTCTGGTGTTTGTGTAAAATCAAAGTATTTTGTTTTTGCCAGGGTAAAATTATGTGTTCCTCTATTTGTAAATGCATTGGTTGCAAAAATTATGAAGAAAGCCCAGATAGAAAAACACTAATGAACATGCCAGACTACACAGAGATTAGAAATAATGAAGGAAACTTCCCTATTTCAACATCTACATTTGAAATGTTATCAAAATCTAGAAGAGACAGGTAAATAAATATTTGGAACTAAAAATCAGTCCCATCTATCCACTATATTTTAGATTTTTTTCTGAAGTGTCCCTTACCTAAAAAATAGTAACTAATATTGACTAATGGTTTATGTAACAAATAAGTGTGGATTCTGCCCTCTTTCATCTCTCCTCACCTTTCCCACTCATTTTCAATGTCCCTTCTCCCCTCATTTGTCTTTCCATTTATCTAATCCTCAACAAAATCAGAGCCAATGGATTTTTAAAAAATCACGGCACTTACACAATGTTTGCAGCTGTTATAACCCTATCCCCTCTACCTATTTTCTGTTTTCTCCATGTAAATTGTAAGATATGTGGGGATATGGTCTGTCTACTATAGGTTGAACCTCTCTAGACTGGCACCCTTGGAACCTGACCTGTTCTGAACCAGAGAATTTGCCAAACCACAGGAGGTCAATATTGTCTAGCAGCATTACCAACACTTCCACTACTTATTGGGCTCTTAGAAGACATTCAGGCCTAAATTAGAGATAAATAACAGCACAGAACACTGAGAGCCAGGACTGGTAGCTATAAACAAACTTTATGGGTCATACCCATGATAAGTGGACAACTGGATAACTAAAATCATGCTGGACCACGGATGTTGCTGGACCAGAGAGTGCTGGAATAGAATCATAGAATAATAGGACTGGAAGGGACCTCGAGAGGTCATCGAGTCCAGCCCCCCGCCCTCAAGGCAGGACCAAGCTCCGTCTACACCATCCCTGACAGATGTCTATCTAACCTGTTCTTAAATATCTCCAGAGAGGGAGATTCCACCACCTCCCTTGGCAATTTATTCCAATATTTGACCACCCTGACAGTTAGGAATGTTTTCCTAATGTCCAATCTAAACCTCCCCTGCTGCACTTTAAGCCCATTACTCCATGTCCTGTCCTCAGAAACCAAGAGGAACAAATTTTCGCCTTCCTCCTTGTGACACCCTTTTAGATATTTGAAAACCACTATCATGTCCCCCCTTAATCTTCTTTTTTCCAAACTAAACAAGCCCAGTTCATGAAGCCTGGCTTCATAGGTCATGCTCTCTAGACCTTTAATCATTCTTGTCGCTCTTCTCTGTACCCTTTCCAATTTCTCCACATCTTTCTTGAAATGTGGCGCCCAGAACTGGACACAGTACTCCAGCTGAGGCCTAACTAGCGCAGAGTAGAGCGGCAGAATGACTTCACGAGTTTTGCTTACAACACACCTGTTAATACAACCCTTTTCATAGAATCATAGAATAATAGGACTGGAAGGGACCTCGAGAGGTCATCGAGTCCAGCCCCCCGCCCTCAAGGCAGGATCAAGCTCCGTCTACACCATCCCTGACAGATGTCTATCTAACCTGTTCTTAAATATCTCCAGAGAGGGAGATTCCACCACCTCCCTTGGCAATTTATTCCAATATTTGACCACCCTGACAGTTAGGAATTTTTTCCTAATGTCCAATCTAAACCTCCCCTGCTGCACTTTAAGCCCATTACTCCTTGTCCTGTCCTCAGAAACCAAGAGGAACAAATTTTCTCCTTCCTCCTTGTGACACCCTTTTAGATATTTGAAAACCGCTATCATGTCCCCCCTTAATCTTCTTTTTTCCAAACTAAACAAGCCCAGTTCATGAAGCCTGGCTTCATAGGTCATGTTCTCTAAACCTTTAATCATTCTTGTCGCTCTTCTCTGTACCCTTTCCAATTTCTCCACATCTTTCTTGAAATGTGGCACCCAGAACTGGACACAGTACTCATTTGAGGCCTAACTAGTGCAGAGTAGAGCGGCAGAATGACTTCACGAGTTTTGCTTACCACACACCTGTTGATACAACCTAGAATCATATTTGCTTTTTTTGCAACAGCATCACACTGTTGACTCATATTCACCTTGTGGTCCACTATGACCCCTAGATCCCTTTCCGCTATGCTCCTTCTTAGATAGTCGCTTCCCATCTTGTATGTATGGAACTGATTGTTCCTTCCTAAGTGGAGCACTTTGCATTTCTCTTTATTAAACCTCATCCTGTTTACCTCTGACCATTTCTCTAACTTGCTAAGGTCATTTTGAATTATGTCCCTATCCTCCAAAGAAGTTGCAACCCCACCCAGTTTGGTATCATCTGCCAAACTGATGAGAGGTTCAATCTGTACTCTTATGTTTGTACAGTGCCCAGACCATTCTTTTGTGGTTCTTAAGTCCTGATAAACATAATATTAATAAGGCTCCAAAGCCCACTGAAACCAGTAAGAGTCTCTCCATAGATTTCAATGGACTTCGCATCAGGTCCAGAAGCTTGTATGCAAGATGAATTTTTCACTGCATCAGCTATTGCTTCTTTAATCTTCATATACAATTTAAAAAAAAATCATGCTATGAATTCTGTTTTAAAAACTGACTGGAGACTTATTTTGATTAATCTAAATAATTTTTGTGGGCTTGTGCATGTGTTACTGAGGTTGGTTAATTAGTTGGTATTAAATCTGTCCATTACTTGCTTAAGTCATGCTGCAGGAAGAGTAGAATTATGCCAACCATATGTGGTTTCAAGAGTCATCTTGTTGATTATTCTGTGTGCCAGGAGGGGGCACTCACTGCCTTTTCCTTAAAAATGAACAGAATATGTTTCCAGCTAATGTATGTTGCTTCCTGCAACATACCATGATGCCTGACTAGGATCTTAAATGGTAAACCATATTTCCTTGACTGAAAAGGTAGGAATCTGACTGTTTCTTACAAAAAGGGAAGTCAACTCATTACATCATCTTTCCCAAGTTGTACCTCATGTGCAACTTTTGAATGCACTTGTCCCTTAGTGTGAACACTATTGTACATGCGGTTAACCAGTTGCATTCAGAAGCCGTTTGTTGGTTTCTAGAGCTGTTACAAGTAGAGGAGTAAGATGTCTCATCAGAATACGCTATGTAGTAACAGTGCAACTATTGTGACTCAGCACTGTGTATTTTCAGTTTCTGTAAATTTAGTAGAGTGTAATTTGTCTTTCACATACTGAGTATTTACCATTCAACTACACTTGAACCTATGTAAACCAGGTGTCCCTGATCCAGGAACACCTGCTGTTTGGACCCTGGCAGGGGGACGAGAAAGTGCTTCTGCACGTTCCCCCATCCTCCCCACCAGCGAGGGGTACAGTAGAACAGCAAAGCGCTGATCTGGAGGCTTTACCCCATCGCTCCCATAGTGGTGGCTGGAAGCAGCATGGGGCATGGAGCCTTCATTCTTCCACTGTGTCCCTGATCCAGCAGATCATTTAAGTACGAGATCCCGGACTCTCAACTCCCTCACACGCTTTCCCTCTCTCCTTTTTTCCAGACCTCCCAGGTGCTGTACCCCCTACTCCTAGCATGCTTCTCCTTCGAGAGGTGTCCCTGGAGGTACTCCACATCAGGTCTAGATGGAGTTTCTTCAGCAGTGCCTCAGCGGGGATTGCGCATGCGCGGCGCGTGGGCTCCCTCACTAGCTAAGTGGAGGAGCGGCCCCTGCCTCCCTTCAGTTCCTTTCTACCGTCCCCGGCTGCTGACGGAACCTGGCAGTGCTCTTCTCTTCTCAGCATATCTAGTTCATTAAAGTAGTTAGTTTTAGTCACAGTTAGTAGTTCTTGTTAAGTGTTTCACTGTTTCTGTTAGCTAGATTAGATTAGTAGTAGTTAACAAAAAAAAGCAGCACAGGGTTTGAACCACCGCTACAACCTACAAGCCGGTATGAGCTCTCCTGGCTTCAAATGCTGCACGCTCTGCAACGGCGCGATGTCTGCCTCTGATGGGCATGACTCCTGCTTGAAATGTTTGGGGAGCTCTCATTCACGCAGAGATTGCCCCCACTGTGACAAAATGAGACCCAGGTCTCACAGAGAGAAGGAGCTTAAACTGAAAATGCTTCACATTGACAATTGCAAAAGACATGCCTCTGACCCAGGCTCTGGGCAGGGCTCAATGCCTAACAAGCATAACTCTAAGCCCTCTAAAAGAAGGGCATGTTCATTACCTCAGCAACCCAACAAGAGACAGTCTGAGGGGAAAAAAGTCAGACCACTCAGACAAGAACCGTCTGAGCACATTTGACCGCCCAGGTACTTCGGGCAAACAGCGTAGTAAGCTTGAAAGTGCTTCAAACGCTGCACTTGCAGAGGCAAAGTGCCATTCCGTGCCAGCCTCAGCAAACCCAGTAACGCTGACCCCAATGACAGCTACACCGGTACCTCAGCCTCTCACGATGGCACCCAGACAAGGGATAGAGCATTCTTTGAACGCTGCTCCCTCCTCTCAACAATTAGAAGCAACAGCTCTCCTTCACACCTCTGAGGTAAATACGGGCTCCTCTCAGTTAGCACAGCCTTCCACGTCACAAACTCCCTGGTCACTTACAGGGAGAGTAAAGACTTGCGCACTGACTCAACTCTTCACTCATCTATCTTCACTCAATATAGGGATATTCAGTTGCTACTCTCTGACGACTCAGATCCGCAATCCCCCCTCTCACACGAAGAGGGGGACAAATTTGAAGTGTTCTCACCACAGTTGTCCCCTCAATCACAAGCAGCACTGGGGACACAGTTCCATGCAACCAGACCTTCTCAGAGCGCAAATGGCCCCATGGGCTCCCTATCTGTGGATGGCCCCACTGGTGGCATACCCCCCACAGTGGTAAATGTGGAACCATCCTCCACATCATCACAGAAAGAAATTACGCAAGACTAAACACATAGAGAAACCTCTCTCACGCTCTACTGAATCTCCTCACAGAGACACGAGGAGTGATAATGCCAGCCAATACTCCCCCAGGTCAGCCACAGTTTCTTTGGCTCACACATCATCACTAGCAGAAATGGGAAAAGCAATGCTGCCTCCTCAAAGACCAATGAGCTTCTTCAATCCATAAAGGACTCCAGCGCCATTCTTCAATCCTTGGGTACTCAGGCCCCTACAATGAGAGCAAGACAATATAGATATCAACTGTACCACAGGCCAAGGTACCAACAGCCCCCTTTCCAGTACCACAGATAAGAACAACCCCCTTACCAACAGCGGGTTTGAAACAGGCAGCAGAGACAGCGGTCTCAGACTAACACCCCCAACCTCTAGGGGCAAATTTGAATATACAGCAAATAAGCAAATTTGAAAATACAGTCAAGAGATCAAAAACCAGAACTCCATCTCCAGAAAATCAGAAACCCTCCAATCTCTTTCAGTTTGTTTACTCCTCTTCATTCACCAATGGGAATTAATTACCTCAGATAGTTTGAAGTATCCAATTATCTCCCTGGGGGTACACCATCCCCTTTCTTTCCCTCCTCCCTCCCACCCTCCAACCCCATTCTTCTTTAAGGACCCATCTCACGAGATCATCTTACAAGAAGAGATAGATCACCTGTTACACATAGGAGCCACAGAACAGGTTTCTATTCCCACTATTTTCTAATAAAAAAATAAGACTGGTGGGTGGAGACCTATCCTAGACCTCAGATACCTAAATAGCTTCATAAAGAATCACAGGTTTAAGATGGTTACCCTAAATACAATCATCCCAGGTCTGGAGCCGGGTGATTGGTTTTCTTCTCTCAACTTACAGGATGCCTATTTTCATGTTTCTATCAGACAATCTCATAGGCGTTTTCTTCATTTTACTTTAGGTTCAAACCATTTTCAATACACAGTCAAGGGATTATTATATTTCCCTACCTGGACGACTGCCTAGTAAAAGCAAGCTCCAGACAAGAGTGCCTCCAGCATACTCACATGGTGCTAGACTGTTTTCACTCTCTAGGGCTTCTGGTGAACCACCCCAAATTGATGCTTACACCCTCACAGACCATCCAATTTATTGAAGCACACCTCAACTCTGTCACAGCCAAAGCCTCTCTCCCTCCCGACAGAACTACTCAGATCAGGCACCTGGCATTATCCCCCAGGACATGCCTACAGTCACCGCACTCAACTGCCTCCTACTTGTAGGCCATATGGCTTCCTGCTACCCGGTGGTACCCAATGCAAGACTATTTATGAAGTGTCTCCAAAGCTGGCTCCTAACTTAGTACAAACCAAACATTCATTTACTGACAAAGAGACTAGCTATGCCTCCATCAGTCAAGGCATCATTAAAATGGTGGACAGAGGTGTCCAACCTAACTATAGGAATATCCCTCCAGTCCACAGAGCCCACAGTGGTCATCACCACAGATGCCTCACTCACAGGCTGGTGCGTTCACATAGAATGGAGAAACAGTTCAAGGACTGTGGTCTTCTAGTGAGCGTGCTTTGCATATAAATATCTTAGAACTCAGGGCCGTCTGCCTAGCGGGTCAAAAACTGCTCCCTCAAGTGAAAGAGATACATGTCCATATCTTCACAGACAACATGGCGTGCATGTTTTATGTAAACCGACAAGGTGGAGCACAGTCACAGCCCCTGTGCAGAGAAGTCATAGCCCTTTAGAACTGGGCAATAGCACGGTATATCCAGTTATCCGCATGCCATATTCCTGGGGCTCTCAGTACAACAGCAGACGCCCTAAGCAGAGCCCTCCCCCAGGAAAACGAATGGGAGATGGACCATACAATCTTACGAGAAATATTCAGCCAATGGGGCCGCCCTTGTATAGATCTGTTTGCCACCAGATCCTACAGAAAATTCACGATGTATTGCTCCAGAGTGGTCATGGGCAGACATTCCCTAGGAGACGCTCTGACTCTGACATGGAATGCACCCCTGCTATACGCATTTCCTCCCTTTCCCCTTCTAAACAAAGTCATCATAAAGATATGGAGGGACAAAGCAAAGATCATCTTCATAGCTCCGTGCTGGCTGAAACAACCTTGGTTTTCCCTATTACTTAGGATGACACAGAGCCATCCAATCACATTACAGCAAGTACCTCACATCCTCTGTCACCCGCAAATCAGGACATCTCACCCTCAACTCACAATGCTCCATCTAAAAGCGTGGCACCTCAGTGGTCACTGGCATACAGCTCCAGTGCTCCCAACAAGTCCGGGAAGTTCTCCTGCACAGCAGAGCTCCTGCAACAAGGAAAACATATATCAGTAAATGTACCCGTTTTACACACTGGGCCAGTGAGTGCAATATATTGCTGCAAACAGCCCCACTCCCGGTAATTTTGGAATACTTACTATACCTGAAGCAGTCTCATCTCTCCTTAGCCTCAATCAGAGTGCAACTAGAAGCTATAACAACATTCCATGTACCACTGGATGACACCACTTTATTTGAACACCCACGACTAAACGGTTTTTGAAGGGTCTACAAGCTCTGTACCCTCATGTGTCACCCCCACAAGAACCATGGGACCTCCACCTGGTTCTGACAACATTAACAAAACCGCCCTTTGAACCTATGGCCACATGCTTCTTACTCCACTTAACGCTTACAACAGTGTTCCTAGTGGCTATCACCTCAGCACACAGAGTAAGTGAACTGGCTGCTCTCATGTCCGGTTCACCATTCACTATTTTTCATAAGGACAGAGTGTCCATGTGGCCACACCCCAGATTTTTACCTAAGGTCTGCACAGTCTTTCATATGAATAAAACAATACACGTACCTGTGTTTTTCCCAAAGCCCCATTCCAACGCCTTTGAAGCACAGATGCACACTTTCGACATCAAAAGAGCTCTCTCTTTCTATATTGACAGAACAAAATCATTCAGGTCCTCTCCACACCTGTTTGTTTCCATCACAAACCATAATATGGTGGAGAAAATATCATCTCAAAGATTATCCCATTGGATATTGAAGTGCGTTAATACCTGTTACTCCTTAATGATTTACCTCCACCTGCTTCAATCCGAGCATACTCTACGAGGGCAGTTGCAACCTCTGTTGCATACCTCAGAAAAGTTCCATTGGAGGACATTTGTGCAGCAGTAACATGGTCCATGGATCACACTTACGCCACACTAAATTAGCGAAAGCTGTCCTGTTGACAGCATACTTACCCAATCCGAAGTCCCTACCTCCATAAGATAGACTGCTTGTAGTCACCTGATGTGGAGCACCCCCAGGGATGCCTCTCGAAGGAGAAGAGGAGGTTACTCAACTCATGTAACTGAAGTTCTTTGAGATGAGCATCCCTGGGGGTGCTCCACTACCCTCCCTTCCTCCCCTCTACTTTGGAAACCTTAAAAAAAAATTAAAAACAAACAATCAAATATGTCAATCACGCTCCTCCACCGGGTTCTAGATAGAGAAGGAACTGAAGGGAGGCGGGGGGCTGCACCTGTGTATAGCTAGTGAGAGAGCCCGCGCACTTTGCGCTCTGTGCATGCACAGCCCCTGCTGAGGCACTGCTGAAGAAACTCTGTCCAGAGGCACTGGGATGCTCTACACCTGATGTGGAGCACCCCCAGGGACGTTCATCTCAAAGAACGTCAGTTACAGGAGGTGAGTAGCCTCCTCTTCTGCACTTGCCCTCCCTCCCAGACACCAGCCCCCACCCCCAGTGTACTTCATTATGGCAAACACCCATGTTGATCCAGCAAAGTCCATAATCTGTCATAGCCTATTTCCTAAGACTGGCAGATTTAAAAAGTTCAATTTTGTATTGTTTTTTTTCCTCTGGCAGGCAACCCACTACATGTATATCCTGGGAAGTGGTTGAAGCAACATGTGCTTGTCTCCTGGCACAAGCTGAAGAGGCAGAAAAAGAAGCTTATTCTGTCTGTCTAGCAGAACAAATGATCTTGGAAGAGTTCGGGAGATGTTTATCACAGATTCTACATTCAGAATTTAAGTCAAAAGGGCTGAAAGTTGAGTAATGTAAAATGAATGCGTTCCAATATTAATGAATGTTGCGCATCACTGTATCAATAATATTACTCAGTGGCCTGATTTTAATCACATTGGCTTAACTTCAGTTTACTTAAACTCAGTTGATTCTGAATTACATGGTTCAAGTAAGACCAGAATCAGGACCTAAATATTTAAGAGTCACCGAGAATATTTTACTTATGTTAAAGAGTTTACCATAAAATAACATTGTTAGTTTAGGTCAAATTTTAAAGTCTTTACCCAAACAAAGGTGTCATTGAAATCCAAATAATTTACATGACTTTGAGAGGCGTTAACCTAAGGGAGGCATTGAAGTCAATGATTTTTGGATTAAGCCCCTAAGAGTTAAGCCTTTTAGTATTATTAGTAAAATCAGAAGAGTAGAGAGCTATCTTGTAACTTGTAATAATATTATAACTTGCAATATACATCTTCTAGCATTTTCTCCACTTTTCTGATTTGGGGGGGAAATTAAATAAATATTTAAACCAAAATTTTTAGATATGGCCTTCATTTTTGCAGCTGCAATTTTGCTCTCACACATCTGGTCATTAGATGTGATTAATTGCTACTTATATGTGCAGTCCACTACAAGTGCTCCAAAATACCTGGAGAAATGGATAGAGGCTCAGCTGAGAAACAGAGCTCCAAAATTTTCTCTAGACCCTATCCCCACACTTGCTCTTTCAATTACAATAAATAGAGCTACACTATTTTAAAAGTATTAAAAATTCATTATCCATTTTGTGAGAGTTATGTGAATATTTGGTTTTTGTCCATATATATTGTACATATCAATATTCAGTTTACCTGCAGATAACTGATCTCTGTATTTTGAAGGTCTATCTTTATTCACACAATAATTATTTGATCAATTCATTTCCAAGTTGTGTATATTATCACAAATACTAATGTTCTAAAAACATTTCTACACTGCTCTGTACTGGAGTTAGACATGACAGAGCAGTGTTTTTATTTCATTTGTTCTTTGTATTCTTCCACTGTGTCCCTGATCCAGCAAATCAATTAAGTACATGCTTAAATTTAATCACCTGGGTAATACCATCACCTTCAACAAAGTTTATTCACGTGAATAAAATTAACCATGCTAAGTGCTTTGCTGGATGGAAACCTAAATCTTCTTTCCAGGCATTTCAGCTGTCATTTTTATTTAATAAAACTTTGTTGTGAACCATATGTACAAAAAAACCAAATAAATGCAATGTATGCTTCTGTACTTATTTATGACAATTATACTGCTTATTGGTAATTTACATGCTACAACATTCTGTATTTTGAGCAATTGCTAGAAGCAGTGGTTGAAATTAAGATCTTAATAGCTTAATCTATCAGAAGACTTGTCTGCACAGCTTTGTAATGCAGGCGAGAGGGCTGTGAATTCTAAAGCACAGCACATGCTGCACACTAACTAGTGCTGAAGTACACAACATGTTCCCTAATGCACATTAACATAGTTACTGTTTCAATAGAACTACAGTAACATTCATAAGAGAGTATTTAGTGTGCACTACAGAGTTCTCGTTAGTTCACAGCATGTTGGTGTTCTTTTAAAATTCACACACCTCTAGAGGGCCTTGCTATGCCACGTAGACAAACCCTCAAGCAAAAATTCTTCAATAAGACTGTCTCATGTTTTTCGTTTTTTTGCAGCGCATACAGTTACACTGCACTAAAAAGGTATTTCAATTCAGTATTATACTGCAGAGTTCGATCAATCCTTTATTAATCTGTAAACAGGTACTCTATATTGACCTAATTCTCTTCTGATATACACCAATGTAACCCCGCTGACTCCAATGAATTTGCACTAGTCAATCTGAGAACAGAATTTCAACAACATTATTCTATTTAGACATAAAGCATTTTAATTAGCTAATCAGAGGAGAAACTAGCCTTATGAAATCATACAGATATTTAAAATGTGCAAACATTTACTGTTTTAAAATATAATCAGCAGTTATACTAGCAAAATGAAAACTAAAGTAATTAAGATACTCAATTCTATAAACTAGCCATCAACTGAGGACATGAAGGCATCCCTGCCATGGTATGGTATTGCATTAGCATCAGCATCATTATTGTTGTTGTTAATTTATTATTAAGCACCAACATTATTGGGATTTTACACTTTCTTCTGAAACTTATAATTTTGGCAACTGCCAGAGAAAAAGTACCAAACTAGTTGAACTTTTGGTCTGGTCTGACAATTGCTGTTACTATAATGTTTGTCTTCCTGTCCGCAGACTTTTCTTAGTCAGCAAGTTAAGCAGACTTCTTAATGCATTTTTCTATTTAATGTTGAATGTCGTGTTGAATGCTGAAACCTCCTTTTCACAAAAACCACATAAGTATCCTATGAGATACATTGTGTCGAGTCCACTCCTCACAAGTATAAATTGGGGATGGGAAGGGGACCCTTGCCAACCAATTCTTTGAACTTTAAATTACATTTTAAAAGGGCATTATAATTTACAATTTAAATGTTCATAGAATAATAATTTACATGAATCATTTATTCATGATCCTACACATAATTTAATTTTAAAACTTGCAGTGTGTTTTATTTAATTTTTTCTGTCTATCTCCCTTATATAGATATTATCCTCATAGATATCAGAAGGGTAATTGTGTTAGTCTGTATCTGCAAAAACAACAAGGAGTCCTGTGGCACCTTAAAAGACTAACAGATTTATTTGGGCATAAACTTTCATGAGCAAAGACCCACTTTGTCAGTTACCGCTGAAGTGGGTCTTTGCGTATGAAAGCCTATGCCAAAATAAATCTGTAAGTCTTTTAAGGTGCCACAGGACTCTTCATTGTTTTATCTTAATGGAGTTTCTACACTATGCAATATTCAGTTTCATTTCCTTAAGTTACAGCAGGCCTATTTGCTGCCGTTTTTCAGAAAAATAAATTATGTTGTGACAGGGTCAGGCCAGAAGGCTAAAGGAGAGTATTCAAAGGGAAGTATGTTATTCCTAGATTAAGTAGGTCTCTGTTCCCTGGGTAAACTGGCAGGGGCTGGCTTAGAACCAACAGGAACTTTCCAGAATCAGTCTGAACAATCAGGCCAGTTGGAACACCTGGAGCCAATTAGGAGCCTACTAGAGCCAAAGGAGTCAGGATAATCAGAACACGGGGGCCAATCAAGAACCAGTTGAGACTGGTTTCAAAGGGCTCCTCTTCTTTTAGTTCATGGTTGTGCGAGGAGGAGGGAAGGAGCCACAGATTTGAGAGTGAGAGGTGAGATCCGTAAGTAAGGCAGAGTGCTGTGGAGGAACAGGCTAGGCTGCTCAGGAACTAGAGGAAAGGTACTCAGAGGGATCGTTTGGGGAAATGGCCCAGGGAGGTAGTTGCCAGACTGAGAATAGAACAAACCCCATCTGTTGTCACTGTCTTGGGGTCCCTGCGTCGAAACCTGGAGTAGTGGGTGTGCCTAGATTCCCCCCAACCCTACCCATGCCACTACAGAGTCTGTCCCTGGGTAGGGAGATCAAGACTATAAAGGGTTTTTCATCCTATGCTATGGGCTAGCCTGTGATAAGTATGGCTCAATAGGCTGTGACAGTTGCCTCTAAACAAAAAGAAGAGACTGTGTGGAGGGTCACAGTGAGCCTCTGAGGCTGAACACTATACACCAGAAACGCAGGACACACAGGCACAGCCAGAGTTCTGCCACAGTTCTTTTGAATGATTTGAGGGATTAGGAATGGCACTAATTAGAATCCAGGCTATCTCTGCACTACACAGTGTTTTAAATTAGAGAAGGCTGGTCTTAGGACTAAAGAACTGACCTGAATGTACTGAACTCAGAAAACCTGGGTTCAGTTTATAGTTCTGCCACACTCTTGTGTAGCCTTCCTAATCTTTCTTCCCTGATCCAGGAAGGCATTTAAGCAGGTGCTTGACTTTAAGTGAATGATTAAGTCTTGATGTTTGAATGCTTTTTTAAATAGTTTTCTCTGCCTCTGCACAGTGTAGGTTCTACCTACATCAACAGGAGAGCTTTTCTTACCAGCATAGTTAATTCACCTCCTGAGAAGTACCATGTCATCACTCTGAGAAGTAATGTTCTTTCATGATCTTCTTATCAATAAACTAGGCAAATACAATTTAGATGGGTCTACTATAAGGTGGGTGCATAACTGGTTGGATAACCATTCTCAGAGTAGTTATTAATGGTTCACAATCCTGCTGGAAGAGCATAACAAGTGGGGTTCCCCAGGAGGCTGTTTTGGGATGGGTTCTGTTCAATATCTTCATCAACGATTTATATGATGGCATAGAGAGTACATTTATTAAGTTTGCAGATGATACCAAGCTGGGAAGGGTTGCAACTCCTTTGGAGGATACGGTCATAATTCAAAATGATCTGGAGAAATGGTCTGAGGTAAATAGGATGAAGTTTAATAAGGACAAAATGCAAAGTACTCCACTTAGAAAGGAACAATCAGTTTCACACCTACAGAATGGGAAGTGACTGTCTAGGAAGGAGTACTGCAGAAAGGGACCTAGGGGTCATAGTGAACCACAAGTTAAACATGAGTCAACAATGTAACGCTATTTCAAAAAAAAAAACAAACATGATTCTGGGATGCATTAACAGGAGTCTTGTGAGCAACACACAAGAAGTCATTCTTCCGCTCTACTCTGTGCTGATTAGGCCTCAATTGGAGTATTGTGGATCCCCCCCAACCCTTCCCACACCACTACAGAGTTATGGATCTTGAGGTGGAAGAGGCCTGGAATTATTTTAAGTTAAAGTTGCAGAAGCTGTCGGAAGCCTGTATCCCAAGAAAAGGTAAAAAATTTATAGGCAGGTGTGTTAGACCAAGCTGGATGAGCAAGCATCTCAGAGAGGTGATTAAGGTGATTAAGAAAAAGCAAAAAGCATATAAGGAGTGGAAAATGGGAGGGATCAGTAAAGAAAGCTACCTTATTGAGGTTAGAGCATGTAGGGACAAAGTGAGAGAAGCTAAAAGTCAGGTAGAGTTGGACCTTGGAAAGGGAATTAAAACCAATAGTAAAAGGTTTTATAGTCATGTAAATAGGAAAAAAACAAAAAAAGAAGTAGGACCGCTAATTACTAAGGATGGAGTGGAGGTTAAGGATAATCTAGGAATGGCCCAATATCTAAACAAAGACTTTGCTTCAGTCTTTAATGAGGCTAATGAAAAGCTTAGGGATAATGGTAACATAACAAATGGGACTAAGGATGTGGAGGTAGATATCATTATATCCGAGGTAGAAGCCAAACTTGAACAGCTTAATAGGAGTAAATTGGGGGGCCCAGATAATCTTCATCCAAGAATATTAAAGGAACTGGCACATGAACTTGCAAGTCCATTAGCAAAATTTTTTAATAAATCTCTAAACTCAGGGGTTGTACCATTTGACTGGAGAATTGCTAATATAGTTCCTATTTTTAAGAAAGGGGAAAAAAGCGACCCGGGTAACTATATAGGCCTGTTAGTTTGACATCTGTAGTATGCAAGATCTTGGAAAAAATTTTGAAGGAGAAAGTAGTTAGAGACATTGAGGCTAATGGCAATTGGGACCAATTACAACATGGTTTTACAAAAGGTAGATCATGCCAAACCAACCTAATCTTTTTTGAGAAAGTAACAGATTTTTTAGATAAAGGAAATGCAGTGGATCTAATCTACCTTGACTTTAGTAAGGCATTTGATACAGTACCACATGGGGAATTATTGGTTAAATTGGAAAAGATAGGGATTAATATGAAAGTTGAGAGGTGGATAAGCAACTGGTAAAAGGGGAGACTACAGTGGGTAATATTGAAAGGTGGACTGTCAGGTTGGAGGAAGGTTACTAGCGGAGTTCCTCAGGGATCAGTTTTGGGGCCAATTTTATGTAATCTTTTTATCGCTGACCTTGGCACCAAAAGTGGAAGTGTCCTGATAAAATTTGCGGATGACACCAAGTTGGGAGCTATTGCCAATTCAGAAAAGGATCAGGATATCATACAGGAAGATCTGAATGATCTTGTAAATTGGAGTGATAGCAATAGGATGAAATTTAATAGTGAGAAGTGTAAGGGTCTAACACTCTAGATAAAGGGAGTACCGATTGTTATGCACGCAGCCGAAAGTTTAACAACGGAGTAGAGGTCCTGTCAGGAGCACGCCAGGACAACCCTGACCAGACGACGCTGACACTGACAGTCCAGACCACCGAAGGTACCGAGGTA